TCGACTAATTATGCCGCAAACAGTCTGCTGTAATATTATTACTAATAAAAAAGTTATCTCGAAATAAGTTTAAACAAATTTTGTGTAGAAAAAGATGTGATGAAGACCCAAGATTTTCCAAGGTTTTTTCTTCAATTAACTATTTTATTAATTTAGAAACCTAAAAAATGTCTAGTTAAAGCCATTTGAATTTGGTGAATTAATTTAATTTTGTTTCTGTATTTTTTTAAGTAATTACTCATTACATATGGAAAAACTAAGTCATGCATTTTCGAAAAAATTTAAAGAATTTAATTTCAATTCAATATTATGCTTGCCCTACACAATTAACTACTTAATGTCGGAGTGGAATTACGCTGCCTCTTCAACCGCAAAAATATCATTTATCTAAGTGCTAAGCACACAAAGCGGAGAGAGTGAAAGGAATTTTGTAATGGGCGCATTCTGCTGACCTTTTTATTACTGAATTACTGATATTTATTTACAGTTTCCATGGCATTTGACATAAGTAAGATACGTTTTAAAATATTTATTATGAGGGAAACTTAGATATATTATTTGAAAAGTACTGAGTTGTCTTCTCTAATTTTTGCATGTGTTTGAAAAAAAAAATATCTTTTCATGGAAAACTAATATTTATTAATTGATCTTTATTATATCTGCCATTTTGGCTTTTTACGGGTATTTTTAAAATTCCATCAGCGTAACACTTCCGTGCTTTATGACGAAATAATTTACTCTCAGCTGCTATTCAGTTGGCTAATTTCTCTGCCACTTAGACAGCTCTGCAGAGATTGAAAGAAAAGTCAGTCTGATGCTGCAAGGTTCAGGCTATATGGTGGATGGATTAAAACCTCCCAACAAATGCTTCTCATGCTGAGACAACCCAGCTTTTTACCCTTTTATCAATTCTGGACCCTTTTTTGTGCAAAGCATGATGGTTAATTGTTGGGTGTAGAGTGCTGAAGAGAGCGTTGTAGTAGCGTATCACGTATGGTTCTCTTCCACACTCACCTTGCTTGGTTGTCTTCAATTCAGGTTTTAAAATAATTTGTGATTGATCACTGTATTTTAGCCTTGTTTCTTTTAAATTTATTTTCTAGTATTTAACAAATTTGGGATAGGCTTGAATGGGTTCCAAAAACAATAGTTAAATTTTGAAGTATTTTGGAAATATTTCATTGACCGTAATTTAATCAATGAAACGTTTTTTCGCTAGTTCATATGTCACTCCAATATCGTACATCTTTGATTAGCCTGACTTACTTCAATGACTTGAAATTGTCTGCCAGCAGCTTTGTATACCGGTCCCCCTCGATCACTTCTGAAATTTCATTGACCTTTTGAATGACTAGCCGGTCGGAGCGAGGGCAAAACTGACATCAAAATTTCTTGAATGGCATCGAGAAAACCATTCTTCGGACCACTGAAATTTTTTTGCTACGGCTTTGCAGCGGATTTCCTTTTTTTTTTAGTATACTCAGGAAATTTCTTTCAGTTTTGATGGACAATATAGTTTGATATGTTAAGCGGCTCCGCATTGCCCGAAATGAAAGTATCAACAACGGTAATTTTGAAAAGTATAAAAAACGCAATTATTTAATAAGTGATTATAGCTCTATTTGCTAGAGACGATTTCATTAAATGAGAAAATTTTAGGGATATAAAAACATTTGATTGAGTAAGAGACCATCAAAAGGGGGCAAAACGTTTATCTCAAAAACTGAGAAACAGAAATAGTTAAAAGTTTTACCTTACATAAAACTGTGCTTTTATTTTTCGGCTGTTCTGTGGATGTAATAAAAATCAGTTTAAAATCATTTTAGGCTTTTTAGAAGTCTTTCAAAAATACTAGCAGGTTTTCGTGGGTTAGTTTCAAATATTAAAACTTTTGCAAAAAAAATTGTCTAACTAATTTTAAACGGATTTAAAAAATAAAATACAAATAAATTAAAAAAAAAAATTCAAGAAAAAAATTCAAAAAAAATTTCAAAAAAAAAATTCAAGAAAAAAATTAAAAAAATTGTGAAAAAAAAATTAATTTTTTAAGGAAGTTGAAAATATTGAATTTCGTTTAACCCAACAAGTTTTTTATTTGGAAATTTCTATAAAATTGTTTTATTACTCTTTTCACTGTTAACTGCCTGCTCTAATACCACAAATCAAACTCTACATAATCATTTCTTAAATGATTGGCACGTAGCATTTTATAAATATATTTACAGCAACACTATTATGTGCTATATATTTCCTATCTGCTTGATGTAATCACAACATTGAGATTCATATTACTTGAAGTAATTTATTTTGGTTTCCGTATATGATTTTCATGAATATCGAGCGCTGTGTAAAAATATATGTTTAACGGTAATGAAGTTATAAGTGCTTTCATACAAACATATCCTTTGTTTTGACAGTTAATATTGAAGCATGTGGTGAGACTCACAAATACATGCCAAGAGTTGAAAAAGCGCGCAGGAAAGTACAAAAAATAATACCAAAAGAAAATAAAAATAAAATTAAAATAAAATAATATCAACCAGCTAGATGTTAGCTTTATTTCATATTTTGACGCACATTTTGTGTGTGCTGTTTCTTTTGTTTTTGCTATAATAGAGAATAATATTTGTTTGCATTTCGAGATTTTTGTATTTATTTTTCCAATTTTTTTTTTTATTTTTTTCTATTTTTTTCTATTTTTTTTCTATTTTTTTCTATTATTTTTTTGTTTCCAGCTTTTTTTCCGCTCCCTCCACTTAACCAAAACCCCAAAGAGTGCGTTTATTTGCCTTGGCTCCATATTGTTTCTTGTGCTTCTTGTTTGTTGAGTGATTTTGACACGTTATTATCTTAATGATACGCCTGTCTATCTGTCTACACGCCTGCCGACCACGCTCACTTTGCGAAATTCTTATTTCTGCTTTTTTGACTTGGCTTATGCATGGCTTGAGCTGTATTAGAGATAGCAGAGAATTTTTGTGATTTTTTGATTTTGATTGGAAATTATTTTTGAAACAAATTAATTGGCCTTCAGTCGAAGAGCGAATGATTTTGATTGGCAATTTTCAAATTAAGAAATATGATATAGAAATATTAATTTATTTTTGGTTTTGAGTTAGGCTGCCTAGAGCTCGTATGCAAAAGTGTGATTGGAAAAGCACTGAAATTCAATTAAAAATTCTATTTTAAAATACATATCTATATGACTTTCTATGCACTCAATGCGAAGTTTAACGAATATCCATATTGAGTAACTAACTGTACATGAGTCAAAAGACTCGATGACCCAGTGAGTCAGAAAATTGTATAGCTGACATGAGTTTGGTCAACATTTTGACTGCAAAATTTGTAGTTAAAAATTATAATAAGAAAATGTAGATACCATAAAATGCGGTTTTTATTATTTAAAAGCTGTAAATGAAGTAAAAAATACATTTTTATTAAGTAAAATGAGTTGTTTAAATTTTCTTTTCATTTAATTTTAATAATTTTGACGTAGTAATAATACACCAAATTTTAAGTTAATTATTAAAAATGTAAGCAGAAATATTTTTTGTTGGAAAAAAATAAAAAAATTTCTAAACTAATCTGAAAACATTTAAAATCGTTTGGGAAATCTACCACTTTTTATTATAATATAAACGAAAAATAAAAGAATACAATAACCAGCATGAATGGAGACTTATTGGATAAATTATGATTGTAACGAATTATTTTTTTCCAAAAGCAGACTCATTTTTAAAATATTTTAAAAATTTTCTTAGATAAATTTTTAATTTAAATAAAATTGATTTTTAATAATTTAATTTTAGCTCAAGAACCAATATTAAAATTAGTTATTTTATTTATTATTAGCATTTTTATTACACTTCAAATTCTCAGCTGAGTCTGCACATTGGATTACGTCTCTTTTATTTGAAATTTTAGACACAGTCTTAGTTGAAGACACAAAAGCAATGTTAAAAATGTTTAGACTCTCAGTATTAAATTTAGGTTTTATCTCAATTGAATTCGTAGCTTCAGTAGCATAATTAGTTTCAATTTTAGTCTAAGTCTCAATTTTAGTCTCATCTCCAGTAGTATGCTCTGTATGAATTTTTCTCCTTTCTCAGCTTCGATTTAAGGCTTAGTCTCAGTTTTATTAAAATCAGAAAAAATTTCAGTTAAAGTACCAGTCTCAGTTTTAGTGTCAGTTTCAATTTTATCGTGAGTTTATACTCAGTCTCAATGTTAGACTCTAACCCAATCTCAAATTTTTGCCTCCATCAAAAAAATCTTTAGTAAAATGTAAATTTTCTTGAAATTAAAATACATGTTTTTCATCATTAATAACTATAAATACACCATTCTTTAATTTTTCATTTTATTGTTCTTTTTATTAAATTAAAATATTTTAATTTCGGAAATAATACTTTTTTTTATTAACCTTTAGATAGCAATTTAACCACCAAAAAAATAAATATTTATTTTCTACATAAATGCTTATTTACTTGAAAGACCGAAAATTTTCCTCATTTAACATCGCTTAAATAAATATAATGGGTAAAATATGAATTTTTCGTAGAAAGGCTGTCATGGCGTATACGTAATATTTTACTAAAAAAATATATGCAGCCATGATTTCCGTGGAAAAAGAGAATTTGAAGCAGCGGCATAACTTAAAAATCACTGTTATATATCATACTACTTATAATTGTTAGTGGGTATATACCTACATAATTACCGTTGAAGTAAATTTGTGCTTCCCCCCCCCCCCCCCGCACTTACACTTACTACACTTATTTATTAATTCATTTTGTGGCTTGCACAGCACACACCTTTAGTATTTTAAATGCTTATGACACAAATGGGTAGATATATATATATATGTATACATGAATAAAGTTTTATGTGTATAAAGAGCAGCAAGCAACAATAAAATGCCGCTATCTCCCTTTCACACAGATTGCTATCTCATAGCATAATGACTGCCCATTTCATTACAAACGCCACGTACTTACCGATATGAAGACCTCTTCGGCCTGCTGCAATATGGCCACACGTGACCAACCGAATTTTTTCATTAATTTTATACGTGTCGGATTGTGTACCGTTGCGGAGGGATGTGTGCGAAATAATGTGGGAAAGCGACTGCGATCCGAAAGTGCCGGACTCGAGGCACCATAGCAGAGCTGGAAGAGAAGACGAGGGTAGAGCAAAAAATTGTTAGTAAATTTTTAATATAAAACATGTAAAGAGTGAAAATGAAAATACTGTTAAGAATATGTATGTAAAAAGCATGTGTAATTGCGTTGAAATGTAGCAGGAAAAACCGTTGCAGTTTTCGCTCAGACCAAAAAAACAAAAAAAATGTGGATAATTAATAAAATCTACACGTACACGAATCTGCCACTGCAAATGTGTTGTGACTTTTTTACACTGACTTTTGTGGCTGCACTTTTCACATAATTATTTGTTTGTCTCTTCTTTGTTGTGTCAGTCATCAGCATTTTGTGTGTGTTTTTGTTTGTGGTCAAAGTGCAGCTATAAGATTTTCAAGCAATTATTGTTTTTACACAAGAATGGTGAGTTCATAGTTTTTACTAAAATAGTGGTGATAAGTGAAACTGATTTATGTGAGACTAGTTACTTTTGAAATACTTTGTAACCAGTTACTTTTGAAAGTCTTTTTAAACTGCTTAAATTGGAAAATAAATAAATATTTATTTAAAAAAAAATTAGTTTTAAACTTTTTATACTAAACTGACTTTAATTTGATTCTAAAATTGACATAACACTTTATAACTAGTCGCACTGGAACTAGTTTGAAAGGAGTTTTGGTTTATACCTAGAATAATTTACGTTGCTACGTTTACGTTTACGTTTACGTTAAAGAAATTACTAAAAATAGTCTTCAGTAGTTACGCTGTATGTGGTCTGTATGAATGTTAAAATATTTTTCCATAATTTCCAAATGTTTTAAAATAATGTATTTTTGAATTATTTTTAAAACACATTTGAATTATCTTCTAAATATTTTTTGATTCCTTTTCCAAATATCTTTGTCTTATTTGCGAAATATTTTTAAGATTATTTCCCAAAAATTTGTAATAATTTCCGAAGGGTCGCGAAATATCTTCCAAATACTCTTAGATTTTTTCCAAATAATTTGATTAAATTTTTCAAGTGTTTTCGAAAATTGTTGACATTTTTCTAAATTTTTTCGGAATTAATTTCCAAATAATTCAACAATATTGTTACAAATAATTTTTAATTAAATTCCAAATATTTTTGAATTATTTACAAAAAATTTTTAATTAAATTCCAAATATTTTTGTATCATTTTTCAAATACTCTTAAATTTTCGGCAATTATTTTTGAATTAAATTGAATAAATTTTTTAAGTATTTTCAAAAAAATTTGGCATTTTTTTAAATTTATTTGGAATTATTTTCCCAATATTGTTGAATTATTTTACAAATAATTTTTTATTAAATTCCAAATATTTTTGAATTATTTTTCAAATACTCCTAAGTTTTTTCCAATTATTTTTGAATTAAATTGAATAAATTTTTTAAGTATTTTCAAAAAAATTTTGCTTTTTTCTAAATTTGTTTGGAATTATTTTCCCAATATTGTTGAATTATTTTACAAATAATTTTTAATTAAAGTCCAAATTTTTGAATTATTTTTCAAATACTCCTAAGTTTTCCCCTATTATTTTGGAATTAAACTGAATAAATTTTTTAACTATTTTCGAAAAAAATTTTGCTTTTTTTTAAATTTGTTTGAAATTATTTTCCAAAAGGTTTTTAAATTAGTTTCCAAATACTTTCAAATTTTTTTTAAAAAAAGTATTGAATTATTTGAAAATGATTTGAAGTATTTTTCCAAAAATTTTTTTTTGAATTAATTCCCAAATAATTTTTTCCAATTTTTTTTTGAATTATATTCCAAATTTTTTTTGTATTACTTAAATATTTTTAAACTGTTCGAAAAATATATATAATTTTTGATAGTTTGTGTTGAAGAGCTCGACGGCAGTCCCAAAACAAACTTTTAATTTCCGTTTGCATATATAATATAATGTTATTAAGTGTACACGGAAATAAAGTTTAATTGTAGTTTATAAGCCTGTAAGTGGATGTTTTAAGAAAAACTACAGGTTTTTGTTAAACTTCGGGCCTAAAACAGTTTTTAAGGAACTGGTTCTGAACTAGTTACTTTTGAGCTACCTCGAAATTGGCTTGGATAAAATACATTTCGGCTACACATTTGTTGCTCATATTATTAAATAATACTATAACGCTCAACTAGCGCATAACTCGTTACATTTGAGTAAATTTTCGACTAGTTAATTAATAACTTCTCTCTCAATTCTGTTATTAAAAATGTTTTGAGAACATAAGTTTATGAGCGAAAACTAAACTTTAAAAAAAGCTCAGCTTCAGGCAGCTTTTTTTTTGTCGGAAAAGCATTTAACTACTCATTTTCTTAGCACTACACCCCAACTAGTTACTTTAGGAACAATTATTGAATGTTATTAACATCATAACTAATATGTTATTTCGTTTTTTAAAGTGAACCGCTAGGCTTTTATACTATTAAATTTAACTTCTGATATATTTTGAACTACATCTCAACTAGTTACATTAGGACCAATTATTGAAAAATATTAGCATTAACTACTTTGAATTTCATAATTGAATTCAATCAAAAATAATACCCTAAATAGTTTTATTAAAGAAACTTTATGCATTTACGCCGGAATTATAACTGAATAATGCCACTGTTAAGAAGACAATTGAAATTAATTTTTTATATACTCAAAACATCAGAAATTAATTACATTTTCACAGCAATTAAATGTATTTTTACCATCACACCGTAAGCGCATTTGCAATTCTATGCACATTCTATTGCTTCGCTGATTGCTTCACTGGCGGTTGCACATGCGGGCTCATTAAGGCTAATGGTTGCAAGTGTATATGTACATACACATTTACGAGTATGTGTAAATGTATTTGTATATACATAGCGGCATTACCTGCGGGACAATGTTGTCTTTTTCAGCGGTTATACTACAATGTTGTTGACTCTGAGTGAGCGCATTTCCGAGTTGTTCAGTGTTTATGAGAGTGGGGGGGGGAGGGGGTGGGGTAATAAATTTTTATGAGCATGTTAAAAATGTTAAGCGAAGATTGCAAAATGTTGCAATGCATACGTTACATGTTAAGGCGTTCAAAAGGGGTCTTCAAGCCTTTGCTTACTGCACGAAAAAAATACCGTGCGAACAAGTGAAACACACTTTGTTTTGCTGAGATTCAACCAAATATTTTCTAAACTATTTTTCTACAAAATTTAAATAATTTTTTGATAATTAAACAAAAACGCACCAGTCCAAAAGTAGTCCATTATTAACTAGTTACCTTTGGTATAAAGTGTAAACCAGTTGAACAGTGCTTAAATGTATTTAGCAGTAAAAAATATTTTTTTTACCGAACTGCTTAATTTCTAACTAGTTACTTTAAGACCTAAATACGAACTAGTTCATTAAAAATTACATGAATTTCTTGCTATTTGAGGCATTGGAAGAAACACAGCTCAACAGCTTGATAAACTCCTTTTGATTATCCTGTAAAGTTGTTGATATCAGTGCCCAGTTCGCGCCACAATAAGCTGAGCTGCTGCAAACAAAAACAACAAATCGAAAAACTAAACTGTCAACCAGGAATTGACCAGCAGCAGTGAAGCGTAAAGCCACAAACATTTTATATACTGCTTACTTCGATTACTAACCAAGCAAGTGACACAAGGATGAGAGAGACACGCAATAAATTCGCAAAAAAAAAAAAACAAAAAAAAAATAAAAAAAAAATTAACAAAAAAGCAAACAAAATAAGTCTTGAAAAAGTAGTGAACAAAGCAGATCATTTCCCGTGCAAGTGCAATGACCAGTAAGCACCACTTCATTGCTTTCTTATTTACAGCAAACGTTAAATAAAATTTTAGTATTTTTGTTATTGTCTTTGTTATTATTGTTGTTGTTATCCGCACTGTGCATTGACACTGCAATTGTGCTATTACCGTTAACGTCTGATTTGTACTCTCACTGCAAACACGGTGTGCGGTGTGCTCAAGCATAGCGCAACAAACGATGAATACATACATATGTATGTATGGGTGTGTCTTAGTTATTGCTGTTTATTGTTGTATTCGTAATGTTGCAGACAGCTGTGTGTCAGCAATAATGTTTTGCAACGCATCATCAACATTTGTCGACAGCAATAAGCGTAAATACACATATATATTCCATATACGCATATGTGTATATAAGTATGTATATTAGCTGCTGGGTAACTGTATGTGGTTTATGTTTGTAAGTATTCGCAGTTGTATTGAGCAAAATAAATTTAAAAAAAAAACCACTTTGTGTGTAAAAAATTGCAAATGAACAAATTGTTGTTGGTGCGTGTGTGAATTGAGAAATTTTCATGAAAAAACAGGTACAAATGACTTTCTTCGTAAATATGTATGTGCGTATATTGATTGCCATTGGTTGTGTGTGTGTGTTCATTTTACTTTCAATTTTCCACTTTACTGCAAGCACATTTTCTACAGATGTTGCTTAAGGCCCCAGAGAGAAAAGTGTATGTATAAAAGTAACATTTTGAGCTGAGCGCAGTTTGATGGTAAAATGGATTAGTTCTTTAGTGATTACTCAGTAACTAGTTACATTTAAACCAAAACGCTAACCAATGTTAAGTTACAATATAAAGAACTAAATGTTATGGGCAGAATTATTGATGCCCAACTAGTACCAATTGAACCACACCCTAGACTAGTTACGTAGAGCTTCTTCTTCTTCTTCTTTTTTACTGGCCAAGACGTCGGTTACGCGTTTATATGCGAGTTAACAAAAGTGTATAATAAATAATTTTACCCAAAATAGAAGGCGGCAATTTATTTACTTAAATAAATACCGTTAAGGTTTTTGGGTAGGAGAGTTTTATAACTAGTTGTCAATGAGCCTCTCAGTAGATTAGTTAGGTATTAAACACTGCTTAAAATATTTTTATATATTATAGATGAAAAAAATATACATTTCTTAAAACTATTCTGTAAGTTGTTGCATTAGAGCAAAAAACGGACTAGTGCCATATGGATATCTTTGAAACAAAAAAAAAAAAAA